AGTTCTCAGTGATTTAAATATTTTCAATTAAAACCACCATGCAACTATCCTATCTCATTGTGCGATAGAGAAGGAGTGCTTGTCAACTACTTTTCTTTCAGTGAAATTAAATACCCCAAGATTAAAAAGCAGAGCTATTCCGGTTGGAGCAGGCTACGGTTCTTCTCAGCTTCCCTAACCCTGCTTTTTTTGACAACCTGACGTGTCTGCAGCACTCTGGGGCCACTGCAAACAGGTTGAGAATCTACCCAAGTTCAGCATGTTAAGCCCTGTATTCAGAATGCAGTAGTCTGTCTTGTTCAACCTCCACTTTCCCCCACAGTGTCTGGGTACCTCTGGGTGGGTTTCTAATAGTTGAATTAATAGGGTTTTAAAAGTTGTCCAAATGTCTTGGAGCAATGGCTAGCCAGTTAAGAGCACCGGCTGATCTTCCAGAGAAACTGGGTTTAGTTCCCTTCACCCATGTGTAGGCTCTCAGCTCTCTGTAACACCAGTCCCAGGAGATCCAACGCCCTCTTCTGGACTCCCAAGAGCAGTGCATACACACACACACACACATACCACACACACGCACACACAAACACACACACAGATTCAGACAAACAGTCATACACATAAAATACAAATAAATGAAACCTCACTAATACCATCTATTTTTAAAAGATATACTTTGTACAAATTGTTTTCTTTAACAGACAAAAATAAGAACTTGGCCGTTTGCATGAGAATTCTTTCCGCTTTCAGATAACTTGCAAAGTGCTTTGTGTTTGAGCAGAATGTGTCTCCCTGTGAATCCTGCCACGTAACCATGGAGCAAGCAGTGTTTGGGCAGCGGGAGGCCTTGTTTGTCTTTTCTGTCAGCACTGTTATAAATCTGACTTAGCCTCTTTAAACACTCAGTTAAGTAGGGGCATTAACGCCCTTGAAAATACATTGATTTAAAAGTATCTCCTGTCCAAAAAAGTTATATGTTTTGATAAGCTATAAATAATTTCAGCTCAAACAAAATCTCATTTGGAGTTATTTTCCATTTTCTAAGATTTAAAAGAAAGTCAGAGGAGAAATGATACTGGGAGTTACTGTGTGACCTTTTCCATGGAAAATTAGCCACTTCTTAAGATTAGCCACTAAGAAGGCCGGGAAAGCTGAAATGGATGATGGCCCACAAATGACTGACAGGTGATAGATTGTGCATGTGTGTGGGGGGGGGGCGGGTATTGCCTCCTTGTGCAGCATTCACCACAACAAACAGAAAACACTGGAAGTTCCTCAGGGGAGAGTGTCCGGGACAGGGTTTGTGAAAATGGCCAGTCAAACTCATTTGTTGTCATCCTCATTGCAGTGTTAATGCTGTGAAAGCGGCTAGGAATTTGAGTTTAGGCCACCTCTAACTTGGGTAACTTTTATAAAATACTGTGAAAGAAACAGTTTGGTATCATTAATATCTCTAAGAAAGAGAAAGAGAATAAAACCAGTATCTGTTTAACTATTCATAATCGTAGCAGAGTTGTACCCTAAAGATATTAAACGATTTGACAACCTAGATATTCTGCCTCCACATTTCAACCTCCATATTTCAGCCGTTGTGCTTAACGGCTTAGCCATTGCTCCAGACAAACACACACACACACACACACACACACACACACACACACACACACACA